GACTTCACCTCCCAGGTAAGGGGTGGGGCCGCAATGGGACAGACTGCAGCGATTGGTCAGTTCGGCCTCTGCGTTCACACCCCCTGCTCTGAGAACATTGAGTCTGCCTGGTTTACCTCACGTCTGCCTCCTGGCCCCCCCTCCTCCTCTCCGTCCAGATCTTCTCTCTGGGCCACTGTCCCACAGGAGACTGGCTGGCCGTAGGGATGGAGAGCAGCAACGTGGAGGTGCTGCACGTGTCCAAGCCCGACAAATACCAGCTGCACCTGCATGAGAGCTGCGTGCTCTCGCTCAAGTTCGCCTACTGCGGTATGTTACTTTGGGTCTCGTGTTGCCACCCGTACATTAAAGGCCTGTGAAAATTTCTTATAAAAATCCACCATGTAAAAGAAAACAGCGTTTACTGATTTTACAGGCAAAGCAGGATCGTAATGTTAGCATCCTATCACTCTGAGATTGTGGCAGTTGTGAGAAGCAAAATACTAAAAAGCGCATGTTGAAACAGTGCATGCACATCGTCAGATCTTATCAGGACTTAAGTATGCGAGCAAAATGCAACCTGCAGCAGTTGTGATGAGTTTGCATTTCACAGGGAAGTGGTTTGTGAGCACCGGCAAGGACAACCTCCTCAACGCATGGAGGACCCCCTACGGAGCCAGCATATTCCAGGTGGGGGGGCAATACCTTGAAGCAATAGCCTTGAAGTTTAACATGGTACAAGCAAGCTGGACAGCTAGCTATCTGAACAAACGTTATAACACTTCACCACACGATAACATGCGTCGTCCAGTTGCTGATCTGGGTCAGGGCCATGGAGGGTCTGGAACCTCTCCCACACAGCACAGCACAGCACAGCACAGCACAGCGTTCAGGGACTGTGTCCCATTTTACCCACTTTACCTCTGTGCAATGAATCTTGGGATATGTCGGGTTGCGAAGCATCCATTGGGTGGGTCCTTCGCCGACTTGGCAAAAGGATGCATTTGTAGACCACATGTGAAGGAGCCTTGGAAATGCGACAGCCTGCGCTGCTGCGACGCATTCGGTCTTCGAATGCAGCTTTCGAAGGGTGCAGCCCCTGAATTCAGAGACAGCCACAGATACACTATAGGCAAGTTAGCTTAACGTCATGCCTTTGTATTGCGGGAGGGAAGCAGGGTACTCGGGGCACCCAGACTGCGAGAGCAGAAGATGCAAACCCCATATACACAGAGAGGATGTGATATTCAAACCCACAATCCTGGGTGTGTGAGGCAACAGCGCCACCTATTGAGAAATAAATGTTACTGACGGCAGAGTGCAGCGCATGTTCCTGTCCTGCTGACATCTGTTTCTTGTCACCCGCACCCAGTCCAAGGAGTCGTCGTCGGTGTTGAGCTGTGACGTGTCACCGGACGACAAGTTCATCGTCACTGGCTCTGGGGACAAGAAGGCAACTGTGTATGAAGTCGTGTACTGAAGTCAGCAGTCAGGATGTCCCCTACCTTTCAGGATGTCCCCTAACCCAATTCCTCTCTTCTCCCCATCCCATCACTGCAAAGCAAGGCCTTCAGCTCAATTTGACCCCTCCCCAATCCACATCCAGCTTTGAGTGTGCTTGTCCCTGCCTCCAATTTGGCTTATAGCGACCCCCTTACTATTTATTTATGTAGTGACGTAGACCTGAAAGCAAGTGACGTAGACCTGAAAGCAGGGACAGTCAGATGGTCCCTGGAGCTGTTGGGGATTAAGGACCCAGTGCTGAAAAGACACCTCGTTACACAGGGAGAGCACACCGCCGACCCTGAGATTTGAACCAACAACCTTCTGATCACAGGCAGAGTGTCCAAACTTGCTGAGCCACACATCTCTCCCCCCCCCCCCCCCCCCTCCCGGGGGGGGGGGGGGGGGGGGGGGGGGGGGGGGG